AAAAAAGAAAGCGTATGTCTACACAAAGACTTGCACACGAATGTTCATAGCAACATGATGTAAGGCGAAAAAGTGGAAACAACCCGTGTTCACTGATGAGTGGATGAGCTGTGGTGTGTCTATCCCCCACAATACTCCTGGGCAATGAAAAGAAATGAAGTTCTCATACATGCTATGAGGCAGATGAACCTCAAAAACGTTATGCTGAAGCCAGATGTGAAAACCCGCATACTCTATGACCCATTTATAAAAAATGTCCAGGAAAGACAAATCTGTAGACACAGAAAGCAGATGTGTGGTTGCTGGGACTGGCATGGGTGAATGAACAGTGGTTATCATCTGGCACGAGCGGTCTTACTGGGGCAATGCTAATGTTCTAAAACCAGATGGTGGTGAGAGTTGCACAGTTGAGTCAATTTCCTATAAATCACTGAGTTAGGCCAGGGCTGGTGGCTCATGCCTATAATCCCAGCATGCTGGGAAGCCCAAGTGGGAGGGTTACTTGAGCCCATGAGTTCGAGATTAGCCTGGGAAACATGGCAAAACCCTGTCTCTACAAAAAAAATACAAAAATTAGCTGGGCGTGGTGGCGTGTGCTTGTGGCCGCAGCTACTTGGGAAGCTGGGGTGGGAGAGTCAATTCAGCCCAGGAGGTCGAGGCTGCAGTGAGCAATGATCACACCACTGCACTCCAGCCTGAGTGATAGATAGAGTGAGACCCTGTCTTAAATGATTAAATAAATAATAAGTAATAAAAGTCAATGAGCTGTATAGCTAACATGGGTGAATTTTATGGCATGTATATCCCCATCGAGTTGTTTTGAAAAATAGATGCCAGCCAAGTTAGTAAAAGAAAGGAAGACATTGGCCCTGCCAGTCCCTAGAAGCTTCCACATACACCTTCCCAATTACAACCCCCAACGCAGCGAGAGGGAACCACTCTCCCGCCTTATAGTACAACCTGTGCTTTTACTTAAGGGCAATGATAGAAAACTTTATTTAACAACTTTAGGCTTTATAGAAAACTGGAGGCTATAAACGTACTTATGTTTGGAGCCATACACAGGACAGACTAGTTTTGCCTTTTGGGAACTTTGTATGCGTGGATCACTGGGGTCTTTTGTAGCTAGCTTCTTTCCCTCCATATATACGCACATGAGATTCATCCAAACTGTAGCCACTGTGTGTGGCTTTGTTTTGCTCATTTTCCCCACCCCAGAGTCCATTACTCTTCACTTTTCCCATCTAACTTACCCTCCTTCCCATTCAGTAGGGGATCCAACTGCCTCCAAGTTGCACAATCCCAGGGGCGCATTTCAAGCCTCAGCTCAGACAGCAGCCCCTCGGATAACTTCCCCGCCAACACGGCCACCTCTCTTGGCTTTGACCCCATGCTTCTGCTTCTTCCCCATCCCTGGCAGCTCCTTCAGGCTCCTTTACCAGCTCCTGCTCTGTTTGCATCTTCTGAGGGAGCCCAAGTGTTCTTTCCCTGGGTTTCCTAGGTGATGTCAGTCAGTCCTGTGGCATCAAGCATCATTAGCGAGCTGAGGCCTCCAAAATTTCTATCTCCAGTAGACTGATAAGTGACACACACACACACTCTCTCTCTCACACTTACATTTCAACCTGGATGTCTCTCAGACACTTTTTTTTTTTGACACAGAGTCTTGCTCTGTCGCCCAGGCTGGAGTGCAATGGTGTGATCTTGGCTCACTGCAACCTCTGCCCCTCGGGTTCAAGCGATTCTCCTGCCTCAGCCTCCTGTGTAGCTGGGATTATAGGCATCTACCACCATGCCTGGCTGATGTTTGTATTTTTAGTAGAGACGAGGTTTCGCCATGTTGGCCAGGCTGGTCTCGAACTCCTGACATCAGGTGATCCACCTGCCTTGCCCTCCGAAAGTGCTAGGATTTATAGGCATAAGCCACTGCGCCCAGCCTCTCTTAGGCATCTTAACAAAGTAGTGCTCATGGTTTTTTCCCCAAAATTCTTCCTCCAAACTTCTAGCCCCAGGTTTCTTCTTTTTAGTACTTCTGTAAACCAGCTGGGGGTGGTTCACCCAGTAAACCAGCCACCCAGTTGCCCAGGATGAGCCCCTCGATGCCCCCTTTTCCCTCTCCTTTCCTTTCTCCTATCTGTACTCCCACCAGCATAGCCCAAGCCCCGTCACCCCTCCTGTCAGGCTGCAGGCAAAGGCAAATGTCACCTGTGTTACTTGCAGGCCTAGGCAGAGCAGAAGGGCTCCCTGCTGTTCCCTGGGGAGGAGCTCTGGTCCCTGCAGCCTGGCATATTTGTAGGGAAGGGTCAAGGAGTACCTTGAGCTTTACCATTGGGGTTTGGCCTTGCTGGCAGAAAGAACTTTCTTCCACATCACCTGCCTTGTGGAGGTTGGATTATCAGAGGTCTTGAAGCCCAGCACTGGAGGGGAAGCCAGGGGTTATCCAGTCACCAATTGGCTTGTCCCTCCGAAGCCTCCAGACCAGTTTCCTGCTTCCACACTTTCCCATTACACAAAGACACAGAGATAATGCCCAGCCCCTGTTCAAAACCATCTCTAAAACTGCACTCCTTCCAGTGGCCTAGTGGCCTCACATCTGTCCCCTGCCCTCGTCAGCCTCATCCCCACCATCCTCCTCTGCTCCCACTAAGCTCCGGGACCCCCCGGGCTGCATTCTGCTCCTCAAGGCTCATTCCAGCCTTGGAACCTTTCTCCTTGCAATGTCCTTGGCCTGGAGCACTGTTCACCCAGCTCTTTTCACAGCTGAGTGTTTCTTGCTTTTCATGTCTCAGCTCCAATATACATCTACCTCGTCATAGCGACCTGCCTACCTACCCCCATTGCCCTCCATAACACATGCCTCTGCCCTGTTTGTTTCTTTTACGGCACTTAGCATCATTTGCAATATCTCTTTATTTGTCAGGAATCTCCCGCATTGAAATATAAGCTCCATGAAGACAGGGCCTATGTCTGTCTTGCTCTGTGTGCCAGGGCTGGCACACTGCCAGGCACAGAGGAAGACATCTAGGCTGGGTGCAGTGGCTCACATCTGTAATCCTAACACTGTGGGAGGTTGAGGCAGGGGGATTGTTTGCATCCAGGAGATTGAGACCAGCCTGGGCAACATAGCGAGACCCCTGTCTCTAAAAAAATAAAATAAAAATTAGCCATTATCCTGGCATGGCAGCACACATGCGTAGTCTGTTACTCAGGAGGCTGAGGTGGTGAGGTGGGAGGATCACTTAAGGCTGAGAGGTTGAGGCTGCAATGAGCCATAATTGCACCACTGCACTTAGCCTGAGTGACAGAGAGACACTGTGCTCCCCAACCCCCCAAAAAAAGGAAAAGAAAGGAAAGGAAAGGAAAAACTCTAAAGAAATGGTGCAGATAATTAAGTCAAGTCCTGCCCCTTTGCCAAATATCCCTCAGTGGCACCACACTGAGCGCCCCTTCCTTGGGCTTTGTCTCTTGTACCCTCTCCTAGATTTCTGTTTGCCTTCTAGTGTCCAACTTCAGTTCACAGGGCAGGTCAGATGCCCAGTCATCTGCTAGGCCTTGATCCAGCCTCCAGGCCCAACCCTGGGACACACACAGCTTTTCTGGCAGAGCCCAAAGCACGGCTGCTGAGACCCTGCCCAGAGAAGACTCTAAGCCAGAGAGAACCTGCCTGAGTCCTGGCCTCGGGGCTGGAGAGTTGGGGTACGCCTCTTGCCACCACTGGGTGGGAATTGACAAGCCCCTGCCACCCTGAGGAGTCTCTGGGCATCGCATGGGAACTCCAGGCTGTCATTCACCCAGCAACCACTCTGTGTCTTGGCCAAGGTGTGTGGGAAGCCAGGCTCCTGGTAACCCAGGCAGGTCCCCTGGCAATTCATGGTGCTTCAGACCTGGGCCATGCAGGGGCCCTTCCCTAGAGCCCACATCCTTTCTGGACACCGGGAGGTGGTGGGGCTGCTGGTTCCCTGGACATCAACAGCCTCTTTTCTCCCCCGCCCCCATTCAGCACCTGCTAATCCTTTGCACACGGCCCAGCTACTGCCAATTAATCTTCCTTGTCTGAGGGGCCAGCTAGGAGTGGCAGAGAGAAGGCAATTCCTGGCTGGCGTCTGGCGTCTGAGCAGGTAACTCAGGAGGAGATAGAGGCTCAGTGGGACCCCTGAGGGGATCCCCCTGTCCTCCCTTGAGCAAGGCATTTAGGCAGGACCAAACTGGCATGGCAGGAAAGCTGTGGCTTCCCTCTCTCCTCTGGAGCTCAGACTTTAGCGTGCGTCAGAATTTTCAGGAAAGCTTGTGGAATGCAAATTCCTAGGTCCCTCAGGAGGGCTTGGGGGAACTGGGAATCTGTATTTTCACCAGCTCTCCAGAAGATTCTGAAAATGCTGGTGGGGCAACACCATAGCTCCCTGAGCTGCCACTCATGGGTCCCCCTTCCCACCGGAGCCTCCCTCATCAAAGTGCGGTCAGCAGGGACACGCCTCATTTAGGAGGAAAAAGAAACGTGGGGGATGGGGAGACTTTGTTAGTCGTTTCCAGAAGGTTTAGAAATGCAAGCCAGAATTGCTGCCCGCTGGGAAGGGTCTGCAGGCCTGGCCCGCAGAAGAGGCTGACACTCGGTAAATGCCACGACCTCCTGGGAATAGATGTGGGGCACCTGGAATCGGGCAGACCCGAGTGTAAACTCAGCTCAGCCACTGCTGGTTGTGCTGCTTCGGGCGATTCTGTTGACCTTTCTGTACTCCATCATGAACGTTCTTATTTTACCGAGTGCAAGGGTGGGGTGTGGTGGTGAGGTGGGTAGAATGCACTTAGCTCAGCCCTGCCTCTCAGGGCTACCTGGGGTTGGCTGGGGTCAGTGAAATCTGCCATCCCAACATGTGAGCTCCAGCAGCCCCCACCTGGGAAGACACTGTGTCTACACCCCCACTTTCAGGAAAATGGAAGACCAGAGGGTTCATGTCAGGCCCAAGTGCACTTTTTGGGAGGCTGAGCCGGGGAATCTGACACTCAGAGCTCCTTTCCCACCACGGCTTCTCATGGGAGAGGCTGCGCTGCTGATGCCAGAGCAGGAACAGAGGTCAGGGCTGTGAGTAGAAGGCAGGCAGCACAGCCACAGGCTCTGGGGAGCTGGGCTCGGGGGCAAGGATCCTGGGCCTGGTCTGCCTTCTTCAGCTAGGGCCAGGCTCCTTGGAAGAGAGGGGAATACAGACACTTTGCCAACACCCGGGTTGCTCATGGCTGGGAGATGGGTGGGGCACACTCACGTGGGGCAAGGGCACGTCCAGGGGTAGGAGTTAGCACACTGACCTGCATGCTGCCCACTGGCCAGGCCATCCTGCAGGGGTTCAGTCATAAGGGCTGGGGCTCCCCATTCCCCAAAGAGAAATCAACCGGAAACAACCTGTATAAGGTAGGACTGAAATAACACAGTAAACCACGAAAAAAGGTTTACCTGGCGTTGTATTTTTTTTTTTTTAAGTATAGCACTAGAAGCCTTTTATTTTATTTTTGAGACAGTCTCGCTCTGTGATTTAGGCTGGAGGGCAATGGCTCGACCTTGTCTGACTGCAATCTACACATTTCGGGCTCCAGTGATTCTTGTGCCTCAGCCTCCCAAGTAACTGGCACTACAGGTGCGTGCTGCCATGCTGGGCTGATTTTTAAATTTTTGGTAGAGACAGGATTTCATCATGTTGCCCAGGGTGGTCTTGAACTCCTGAGCTCAAGCGATCTGCCTGACTTGGCCTCCTAAAGGGCTGGGATTACAGGTGTGAGCCACCGTGACTGGTCTTATTATTGTTATTATTATTATTATTTTTTTTTTTTAGAAGGAGTCTTACTCTGTTGCCCAGGTTGGAGTGCAGTGGTATGATCTCGGCTCATTGCAACCTCTGCCTCCTGGGTTCAAGTGATTCTCCTGCCTCAGCCTGCAGAGTAGCTGGGATTACAAGTGCATGCCACCACACCCAGCTAATTTTTTAAATGTTTTGTAGAAATGGGGTTTCACCATGTGGTTGACCAGGCTAGTCTCGAACTCCTGACCTCAGGTGACCCTCCTGCCTTGGCCTTCCAAAGTGCTGGGTGTACAGGTGTGAGTGACCATGCCAGGCCCATTTTTTTTCTCCTTTTCTGAGACAGGATCTTGCTTTATCATCCAGGCAGAGGTGCGGTGGCATGATCACTGGAGCCTCGACTCCTTGACCTAGCCTCCTGAGTAGCTGGGACTACAGGTGCACACCACCACACTAGGCTTTTTTTGTTTTATTTTTAAATAGAGACAGGGGCCTGCTATGTTGGCCAAGGAGGTCTTGAACTCGTGAGCTCAAGTGACCCTCCCATCTTGGCCTCCCAAAGTGCTAGGATAACAGGCATGAGCCACTGCACCCAGCCTATTTTATCTTAAAAATTAAAAAATTATGAACATAGGTTAATTTTATCTTAAATTTTCCACTCCTATATTACTCATAATGAATATTTTTACTTATAATGAGATTATGCAGTACATGGTATTACACAATTAGTGTTTTTATTTGATATCATGTAATAGTCATAGCCAACATTTATTTATTTATTTATTTTTGAGACAGAGTCTCGCTGTGACACCCAGGCTGGAGTGCAGTGGCCTGATCTCGGCTCATTGCAACCTCTGCCTCCCGGATTTAAGCAGTTCTCTGCCTCAGCCTCCCGAGTAGCTAGTATTATAGGTGTGTGCCACCATGCCTGGCTAATTTTTGTGTTTTTAGTAGAAACGGCATTTCACCATCTTGGCCAGGCTGGTCTTGAACTCCTGACCTTGTGATCCACCCTCCTCAGCCTCCCAAAGTGCTGGGATTACAGGCATGAGCCACTTTGCCCGGCCCCATAGCCAACATTTATTAAGCCCTTGGCATATGCCAGTCACTGTTCTGAGTATGTTACACTTATTATTATTGAGACAGAATCTCACTCTGTCACCTGGGCTGGAGCGCAGTGGCACGGTCTTGACTCACTGCAACTTCCGCCTCCTGGATTCGAGCAATTCTCATGTCTCAGCCTCCAGAGTCGCTGGGATTACAGGAACTCGCCACTATGCCCAGCTAATTTTTGTATTTTTAGTAGAAATGGGGTTTCCCCATGTTGGCCAGGCTGGTCTGGAACTCCTGACCACAAGTGATCCACCTGCTTCAGCCTCCCAAAGTGCTGGGATTACAGGTGTGAGCCACCGCTCATGGCCTGAGTATGTTACACTTACCAATTCATTTTATCCTCACAATTAACCCATGAGGTAGGTACTATTAATATCCCTATTTTGCAGACAAGCAAACTGAGGCACAGAGACATTAACTGAACTGCTCTTGACTTCAGAGCATGCACATCTTGTTAGCCCAGAGTGCCTCTTTCTTTTTCATGCCCCACAGTATTCCATTATTGAATATATTGTAACTTTTTAAATACATGTCCCTCTTAGAGATAAACATTTAGGCTCACATAGGTACTTTCCAACAGCCAGTCTCCTCTTGGTGAATATTTGGGTGTTTTTCATCTTTTGCTGTAACACTGTTGCAACCAGCTTCTTTGTAGGCTTATATTTATGGCCTTGAGTAGTTCTATAAGGTAAATACCTAGATATAATTGCAGAAATATATATACACACACACACATACATCTGCGTGTATATATGTAATATACATGTGTATTTGTATATAAAATATATATGTGTGTGTACATATTATATATTTTTTGAGACTGGGTCTCACTCTGTCATGCTGGCTGGAGTACAGTTTGCAGTTACATCATGACTTACTGCTGCCTCAACCTCCTAAGCTCAAGTGATCCTCCCACCTCAGCCTCCTGAGTCGCTGGGACTACAGGAGTGAAACACTACACCTGGTTAATTTTTAAAATGTTCTGTAGAGATGGGGGGGTCTTGCTGTCTTGTCCAGGCTGGTCTCAAACTCCTGGGTTCGAGCAATTGGCTCATCTCAGCCTCCCAAATTGCTGGGATTACAGGTATGAGCTACCGCACCAAGCCGAATTTTTGTTTGTTTTTGAGACAGAGTCTTGCTCTTGTCACCCAGGCTGCAGTGCAATGGCATGATCTCAGCTCACTGCAACCTCTGCCTCCTGGGTTCAAGTGATCCTCCTGCTTCAGTCTCCTGAGTAGCTGGGATCACAGGAGCCCCCCACCACATCTGGCTAATTTTTGTATTTTTAGAAGAGACATGGTTTTGCCATGTTGGCCATGCTGATCTTGAACTCCTGACCACGTGATCCACCCGCCTCGGCTTCCCAAAGTGCTAGGATTTTAGGTGTGAGCCACCATGCCCAGCCAGCTGAAATATTTTTAAAGTTGATGAAGGAAAAGGAAATGTGCAGCTCACAAGAGTGGCTCATAAGCGGCGGGAGCAACTGTGAGTGCTCCGGGGAGGACCAAAGACTCTGTCTTTCACAGGCATCAGGATGTTGGGCTGGGTCCAGAGGGTGCTGCCTCAGCCCCCAGAGACCCCTCGAAAGACCAAGATGCAGGAGGAAGAGAAAGTGGAACCAGAGCCAGAGCTGGAGGCGGAGGTGGAACCAGAGCCGAACCCCGAGGAGGCCGAGACAGAGTCTGAGTCCATGGTGAGAGGTGGAGGGGGAGGAGGGGCAGGCCTGCCTCACTGCTCAGGGTCTTCCCAGTTTGGGCCACTTGCTCTCCAGGGACCTTTTACAGCAGAAAACGTGGGCGCCAGAAGGAAAAGTGAGGGGCACAGGGTCCCACACTTGTTCAAATTAGAAAACTCAGGTTTAGACAGTGGATTGGGCTTGCTGAAGGCTAACATTTTCTGTAAAAGGCTAAATAGTAAATGTTTTAGGCTTTGCAGGTGATGCTATCTCTGTTAATTACTCAACTCTGCCATTATAGTGTGAAAACAGCTATAGGTAATGCATGAGTGAATAAGCATAGCTGGGTTCCAGTAAAATTTTATTTATGAAAACAAGCAACAGCCTGGATTTGGCCCTCAGGCCATATTTTGCCAGCCTTTAGCATTCATAACAGAGGTACTCACAGGAGCCAGTGCATGAACTGATGATTGCTAGTCCATCATAATTAAGCAGTTTGCACCAGAATGTGAATCTACTGTGTAGCTAAGTACACTGATTAGTTTAGTTGCTATATGTTTTGTACCAAGACTTTCTCAATGAAGGAAGCAGTGCATTGATAAATATTCTGGTATAAACTGCTTAATCATCACGGACTGTTACCAGTTTGCAGACTGGCACTGGTCCACACACCACACTTTCTCCAGAAACTTTCTCCAGAAACTTTCTCCAGAACTTTTCCTTTGGGCAAATCACAACTTACCAGTTCTGCAACCCATCCGTTCAGCAGCTGGATGACACCTAATTCAGCAGCTCAATTCGATGATTTGATTTAGCTTCTAATTGATGCCAGGGCCTGTGCTCAGTGCTGAAAGCATAAAGATGAATAGGCATTGCCCCGAGGGGGTCAGCAGACAAGAACCCAGCCAGCTCATTCTGCCGAGAGACACAGGTGGGGAGGAGGGAACGTGGTGAGCCCCAACACTGGCCTCACCTGCACCCTTCTTGCGGAGCCAGATAAGCATGTCAGACCAAACCATGGGAGCTCAAAAGAGAGAGAGTCATCTTAACTTTGGAGATTGGAGGCTGGTGGGGGAGAGCTTCTTAGACTCAGAGTGTGGATCAGAATTTTAACCCAGAGAGATGGAGAGGCTGGCCATTCCTGGCAGAGGCGAGGCCATTACTAGAGAAGTGCAGAGTGTGTTTAGGAAACAGCGTGTGTGGAGGTATAAGATGTCATATGCATGTGTATGTGTTGCATGCATATACATGTAGAACCACGTGTGTGTGTAGCATGCCCTTGGTATGTTGGTGTGTGTACATGTGTATTTGCAAATTGGGTGTGCATGGCAATGTATGTGAACATGCATATGTATGTGGATGCATGTGTATGTGTTTGCACATATGTTTATGTATGTGTGTATATGTATTAGTATGTCTGCGATTCCATGTGCTCCTGTGACATGCTAGTTGTATATGTGTATATATGTATATACATATTTCTGAGTATGTGAGTGTACTCATGTATTTCTATGTGTATGCACATTTGAGCATCTGTTAATGTGTCATGAGTATGTGTATGTACACATATGTGCATGTATCCACAGATGCAGAAATCTGTGTGCAAATATGCACGTGTGTGACTGAGCATGTGTGTATACACATATTTCTGCACCTGTATACATATGCAATATATCTACGCATATGCGCATGTTGTGTCTGTACACGGGCGGGTACAGGCATGTGTGTGTCTGCCGGCATGCATGCATATATATGCATGTTTGCATATGACTGCATGCACATATAGTGTGTTGGGGCATGTATGCATATGCATGTTCAAACATATATGTACATATGTTTATGTGTGTGTGCATGCACTTATTTTTGTGTTTGTGCATGTGTGTGTATATGCATGCTGGCATTTGTGTGCCACCGCATGTATGCAGATGTATGTGTATATATGCTCATATTGTCTGTTTATATATGCATGTGCATGAGAGTGAGTATGCACACATTTGTGTGTCTGTGTATGCACATGTATGTTTGTTTGTACATACACATCTGTGCACATGGTAGCAAGAGGTGTGACTGCAGAGGCAGGTGAAAGGCAGATGGCAGAGGCCAAACTCCACCTGGCTACTAGGGAGGAATGGAAAATTTGGGCCAGAAGGAGAAGGTAAGGCCACCAGATTTACAGGGATGATCCTGAGAAGAGAGTCATTCAGTCTTTTGTGGGGCAGGAATCCCTTGAGGGAGGATCAGGGGCTGCGCCTGTCCAAACCAGGCTGATCTCACCTAGGGCTTACCTTGTGCTGTTCGAACCCTCTAGCCCCCAGAAGAGTCATTCAAGGAGGAGGAAGTGGCTGTGGCGCACCCAAACCCTCAGGGTGAGTGCAGAAGCCTGGCTGGCAGGGCAGGGTGGGGGGCACATTCTCCCCTGGGAGCCTCGCAAAGCCCACAAGGCTGGCTTACCCATTTCACAGATGAGGAAACTGAGGCTCAGAGAAGCTAAGGGTGGGCTCTTGGAGACTTCAGCTGAGCTGAGCTGGAGCCTGGCTTTCTGACCTCAGGGGGCTCCCTCCTCTCCCCTGACTTGATCTCCCCAAGCAAAGTAGAAATGGGTCTCTCTAAGGCCTCAGGTCTGAAGGATGAGGGATTCTTTTCCAGAGACCAAGGAGGCTGCCCTTACTTCTACCATATCCCTCCAGGCCCAGGGCGCTGATTTTTCAGAGATGAACAGGTACGCTACTGCACCACCCTCCCCTCTCTTCAGGGCTAGCCCATCCCCCTAACTCCACTCCCAGCTAGGGAGCCCTGGGGATTGGGGTGGGGATGGGCACTGAACTCAGCTCTGCCGTTATTTTGGGCAAAGCCCTGGGACATCCTGAGAATTCGCTGAAGCGAGCTTCAGGTGGAGGGTGGGTTCTCCTGGGCCACATGAGCAATGTGATCAAGAGAAACTGGGTCAGAGCTGCATAATGAGCTTCCCTGTCCAGGGGGCCAGATGTTTCTCAGTGCTCTGGTGTGCCACAGGTCCAACGGGGTCAGAGCTTCTGCTTTTCCCAGAGAAGCCAGAAATCCAGGCTTTTGCATGGAATCTCCCAGTTGACTCATACTTTTCAGACCCATGGTGCTTGGAACCTGAGCATGGCTGGGGCTGGGCTGGCCTCAGGCAGGGAGGCCGTGACCTTCACATTCAGGCTGCTCAGCCTCTGCCACAGCATACACCGCAGCAAACCTTGGCCCTTCTGGAGCACGATGTGTGCTCAGAGCAGGACAGTGGGGGAGGCAGGAGGAGAGGGAAGTCAGCTGCTCTGCCCTAAGCATCCCATGGGGGTGGGCTCTGAATGGCACCTGGTCTGCCTGGCCTCATGAAGAAGCATCAGCGTCTCTCATTTTTCAGAGGTCATGGAGCTTCTGGGGGAGGTGATGTGTCTGAAGTCTCAGTGGGGAGACGGTGGTTTAGGATTCAAGCCAAATTCTTTAGGACACTGGACTGCCCTTGGGCCAGTGGGGAGCTAGAGCTAGGGGAAGTTGAGTGTGGGTTGGTGTCTCTATTCATCCCAGTCCCAGCCGCAGAGTGCTGAGCTGGCTCATGAAGGGCGTGGAGAAGGTGGTCCCGCAGCCTGTCCACAGCGCCAGGGAGGACCCGGCTCAGGTACTAATGGGGCTGGAGGCTGAAGGGGCTGGGTCAGGGAGGGGCTGTGGGGAGGATGCTGCACCTTGGGCTCCCTGCCAATGTCTGTCTGTCTGTCCTTGGCAGATCGTGGGTCATGGCAGCACTGGGGACACAGGTAAGACCAAGGGACAGGATGGCTTTTCAGCAGCGGGGCTGAGGGGCTGCGGGGCTACGGGGCTACGGGGCTGCTGGGATGGGCCCCACCCCTGGGGAGCCTCTGCCCAGGCCGGAGCATCTCATCTGACTGACCCTGCGTTTGAACCTGCAGTTGAGTTGGGCTCTCGGTGCCCACTCCAGGCGGCCCAGGTGGCTGGGGCAGGTCTCCTGCTGCTGACTGCCTTTCTTTATTTTTTGACACTGCAGGGTGCACATATGAACCCAATAAGGCCCTTGAGGCCCAGGACACTAGGTGAGTCCCTGTCCCTGAGTGTCACTGTTGTCTGTGTGTGTGGTGGGAGGAACAGAGCCTTGGGTTCAGGAGCAGGATCTGTTATCACCTCAGGGGGTGACCTTGGATGTGCCCCCTGTCTCCTCTGGGTCTGTTTCCTGCCATAGGATGGGGACAGTGGACCGTGTGCTGCTCATGGTTTGTGGTGGGAGGTCCCTGGGTGCTCCCATGGGTGAGTGGGAGGTCCCTGGGTGGGGCCACCCTCCGAGAATAGGGAGGGGCTGGGATGAGCTCCTCACAGATGGGCTTCATGTAGGTAGGCTCTGTGTGGAAACTGGAAGCAGGGCTTGGACCACTGTGGAGGACATCAGGGTGCCCAGGCTGGCCTCAGCATCCAACTCCTCAGAGCTGACTTGGGGAGGGGTGGCTGCCCCATCAGTAAGGGTTGCAGGCTGGTGGGGGTACTACGGCAAAGAGGGGAGGTAGGGAGCCCTGAGAAGTGGCCCTGCTCAGTTTTAGCTGCTTCTGCCTTGCAGTCTGCAGGGCTTGTGTGGCCATATTCTCCAGGTTTTCTAGAGAAGCTAGAAATCTAGCTTTTTACGTAAAACCCTCAATTTTTAGTCAAGAAGTTTTCAGCACGCTGTAGACCCCCCAAAGTAAGCCTGAAGTTTCCAGTTTGTAATTTCTTTTTCCTTCTTTCTTTTTTTTTAACTTTTTTTTTTTTTTTTT